TAAAATCATAAAATTCCCTAAATTTATTTTTACATTTAGAATATTAATTAAACTTTAATAAAGGTAAAATTACAAACATAAATAATAAAACTTAAAAAAATATATAAATCAAGACCAATTTTTACTTCAAAAATTTGTCCCAAATTCAAATTTCTTCTCAACATTTGAAAGAAACCCTCCAAAATTTTAATTTAATTCCCTCCTACAGAGAGAGATGCGTTCGAGAGAGAGAGAGAGAGCGAAGACGAAGAAGAGAACATGAAGAGAAGACGGAGGGAAGAGTAGTCCTTCGGAGCGACAGCCATTGCTTTGCTTGCGACGGCCATTGCTTTGCTCGAGCAATCCTTTGCAGCTCCGTTCGTCTTCGCTTCTCCGTCCATTCGATGAAGACCCACGAACGAAGCAAACGGAGCCGTCTCACCGCTCCCTCCGGCCGGAGCTCTCGTATCTCTCCGTCGCATTGCCCAATTTCAGGTACATGTTCAGATATTAGGGTTTTGAGTTTTGACTTGAGGCTTTTCAATTTCAAAATTAGGGTTTAGGGTTTTTCAATTTCAAAATTTGGGATTGAAGTTGCAATTGAAATTGAAAAAATAAGGGTTTTAACTTTTGATTTGGGGTTTTTCAATTTGTTGAGTTAGGTTTGACCATGTTATAACCAAAAAATAGTGATGGTATTTTTTATTTTTATTTTTTTCCATAAACACAATGCATATATACATGATAATCAAATATATATTATGTAATGCTCAGTGGCGGCCCAACCTTTATGCTGTGTTTGGTCAAGGGATTTAAGGAGAGATTTGGAAAGGGAAATGGAAAAGATAGGTGAAATGTGAAAAAAATATACCTACATTAGTCGTGGAATGTTGGTAACAGAATATAACTGATTATATTTTAGAAAATTGAGTCTCTTCAATCTGTCTTCATTAGTAGCTATTGTTTGTTTAATGAATAATTTGCTCCCTAAGATAATGGATAAAGGAAAATAGTAATTAGATTTTTTCTTTGTTTTAGAACATTGGGAGGCATTATACCATGATTGTTTATAATTTTTATTGAACAATTGACTAGTGTTGGCCAATCCATCCAATGAATTGCACAATTGATTGGTGGTGGACAAACCTTCCAATCGATAGGTGAATGGATTAGTGTTGGCGAAGCCATCCGATCAATTGGACAATTGAATGGAGTGGCTAATTCTTCCAATCAAGTAATTAATCGATGCTTTTGCAAAATTTTAGATGTGCAATTGATTAGTTAATTAATTTTGTTGACTTGTAGAAAAATGATCTTGGGTCTTCACAGTGTCGGTGGCTGCCAATATTATGAGAGGATACATGGCATTAGAACCATCTCCAATTCATGTGATGGTGAGATTGTGATGGTGGTAGTGGAGGTTTTGGCAGGGGCGACGCTGTGTGTGCTTTGATGGGCGCCCATGCCCCATCAAGCTATCAAAAATTCAGTAAAAATAATTATTTATATTATTAATATTTTATTTAATATAATTTGATTATGTTGAAAAATTAAAAGACCCCACCAAACAGAGATCTATATCTATTAGAGGAAAAAATATTCAATGTAATGATGACATCATAAGGCTCTCTCATTTTAAATAAACTTAAATCCCTATAGGCTCTCTCCCGCGCTTTCTCACCGGATCTAGTTTTTTAGACTTGAGTAGGGTGCTGCTGTTTTGATTTTTGGGTTGGTTTATGGGCGGTTGATCTTTTGGTTTGGATGCTCCATGGGTGATTTCAAATATTTAGCGGTTTTGGTGTTTGATGGGTGTTCGATTGCAAGCTTTTTTTGGGGTCACTACTTTCGGTGGTGTGGATGCTCGTTTATGGACGCTTTTTCGGTGGGTTAGAGTTATGGGTGCCAGTTTTTGGGTGTTGTATGGGTGTTCAGCAACTTTGGGGTGGTATAGGGGAGGAGTTGGAGTCACTTCAACGCGGCAAAGTAGAGTTTTCATTGGGGGGTGTTCCATTGGTGGAGTTGCGAGGGGTTGCGTGCTCGCGGTATTGGAGGTGTTTGTTATAGTGGGTGTTTGCAGTGACGTTGGCAATTAGGTGCAATGACGGTGATATGGAGGTGGAGCAACTGGTTTGGGAGGCAATGGCAGTGGTTCGGCAACGGATGGTGACTGTTATATTTTCCAACAAGCAATGGATGGTGGTCGGGCGTGTTATTTTCCAACAAGCAATTGATGGTGGCTGGGCGTGTTATTTTTCGACAAGCAATGGATGGTGGTCAGGCGTGATTTTTTCGGCCAATGTATGCATGACAGTTAGGCGTGGTGACAGAGTAGTGTTTTGGGATGTGCGTTTGTGAAATCAGAAATGCTAAGGGCACAGGGTTTGGTGCAAAATGCACAACCCTCTCACATAAGGGTATGTCCCATATGGATCTCACATGTGGGCTCTATCCTCATGTGAGATGATTGTGCATTCTCCACCAAACCCTTTGTGCACCTAACATTGTTCTCGGAGAAATGGGTTTGGAGTGTGAAAAATCTAGAAATCCCCTAGATGTTGATTTGTGATTATGTATCAATTTTAAGCAGAATATAACAATCCCAATCAAACAATCAAACAATCAAGACAAAGAGACACAACGATTTTAACGTGGAAAAAACCACAATTGGACACCTCCAACTGTGATAAAAAAACCACGGGCAACAGCCACAAGAACAATCCACTAAGAAGAATTAAAGGAATTACACAGGTATACTCTCAATTACCTAGCAAATCCACAACGCCTAATTGAACCAACCTCTATGTCCCTCTTCCAGCCCCATCTTCACCACGGAATTGTCTTTCTGATGAGCCACTCCGGATTCCACCAAAGCTTCAGGCACGAATTCTTCAGAATCCACAACTGAAGAATAACTCTCTCTTTTGAGTATAACAAACAAACCTTTGATGTACTCTCTTTAAATCATGAGTTGAAAACTCAATAAAAACATCAAAGAAAACTCCCAAAGTATCCCCAGATATAAACCCTAGAAACCAAAAAGAAGATCTGGAGAAGTTCACCTAAAAATCTGACCTAACACGCGAATTTATAGAATCTGTCCCGCGATCTCCGCTCGAGCTCAACACAGCCCGCTCGAGCGGACTGACCAAAAACTGCGTGCGAACAAACTGAGATGCGCTCGAGCGTAGGAGAATCTGCTCGAGCGTAAAATCACACATTCCAGTATTTTTACAGGCGACTGCAGAGATGCTGAGAGCTTCCAACCCCCGCTCGAGCGCCCGATGTCCCGCTCGAGCGGACAGGCCAAAACTGGAAAATCTGGAAAAATAAAACATGATCGAATGGCAACTTTGAATGCATTTTTGCATTTTGCTTCGGGGGCGCTCCAAAACTGGAAAAACTGGAAAAATATAACATGCTCGGACAGGCAACTTTGAATGCATTTTTGCATTTTGCTTCGGGGGCGCTGCCCCTCAACCCCGCCGTGGCGCTGCCCCGGACACGCCAAGGGGCGCTGCCCCCTGGACCCCCGTCATAATCAGCGAAGTGGCAATCTTGAAAGCATTATCAACACAAACTCCTCTGAAAAAGCACAATTCGGGTTGGATTCGCATCTAAACACTCATAGCCTCACTGACATAAAAGAGCGAAAAAAAATACATCTGAAAGGAGTTTTGTCAAACGGGGTTGCCAAGAATAAAAACCTAACAGAGTGGGAGGCAGTTTGGTGTGGATGTTAGAATTTTCTGGGGATTCAAGCTTTTTAGTGTTGTGTAGTTAAAATCTATTTAGGTATTGTGTTTATTTTGTTTGTTGTTATATTCTATTTAATTTAAAAAAATTTGTGAGGCCGAGGGATTAGTTGTGTAGATGCGAATAACACCATTAATGGAGCTTGTACTCTCTAAATCTCTTTCTGTACATTTCATTTTCTTGTATCTTTTATTTCATGTTTAAAAAAAAATAAGCCAATAAAAAATCGCTAATGAGATTAAATGGATAGCCTTCGTCTCCTATTGACTCAATAATATTGTGATGCCTACTGCAAATCAAGATTGCTCATTAAACAATGATACCATCACTTGATATCACTGTTACATTCAATACTTACTAGTTACCAATGATGACTAGAAATTTTTATCGACGGGATCACTCTAGAAGCTTTAGCACCATAAATTCTATTAAGGAAAAAAAAAACTTTCAAATCAAGTAATATTCATTCTGTTTGGTTTTGAAATTTCAAAAGTTGTTTAAGTTTTTATTTTTTTATGTTTTTTTGCCTTCAATTTTTTTTCTTCATATTTTAGTAATTTATTTTTATTTTTGTATATATGCACCTAACTTAAATGTATTTAAAAAGTAAAATATTTGTAATTTTTTAAAATTCAATAAACACAAACAAGAAGAAGAAAATATACTGAATTTTTATAATTTTTTTATGTTTAATGAATTTTTAAATATGTTTTCACAAATATTTTAATTTTTAAATATATTCATTACCTAGATCTGAAAGGTAAAAAAAAAGTGTATAAAATTAATAAAAAAATACAAAAAACAAAATACTCAAAAACTATTTTTAAAAATAATTAATCAAACAAAGTGTTTTAAACTTCTCAAACTATAGGTCTCTAATGAGTATTTATCATTATTTGATGGGTTCTTTAATTTTTAGTAAGATATTAAACAAAATATTGATAATATATATAAATTTATCTTTAAGAATTTTTATCACCTAACCAGGTGGAGTTGCCCCTGCTAGTTAGGATAAGAAATATATCGTAAATATCTATAAATAATTTTCTATTTTTTATTTCTCTTGCCGTTAGAGAGTCAATGTTTGAAAATTTTAAATCACTCTTTCGTTAACATTTTTTAAATATAGTTGTTGTATTTTTGTTTTTTATGTTTAGTGAATTTTTTAATTTTTAGATTCACTTAATTTAAATACATTTTTAAATTTAAAAAAAATCTGAAATTATTGGTAAAAAATCTACTAAATAAAAAATATATATGTATACAAAAGTAATTTTTTTGAAAAAGAACTTATGAAACATAAACTTGTGGTGACCATGTCTATAAAAGTTAATGGAACCCCAATGGTAATTGTTATGGAAGTAAAAGGGATTGTGATTGTAGTGATGGTGGAGCTGTAATATTGTAAAGGTAAAAGTGGGGTGGCACGGTGGTATAATGTTATTGGTGATTGTGATGGTGCAATGATAGTAGTGGCAGTGGTGGTAGTGATAGTAGTGAGGTTGTAAGAGTGTATATCGATACTTATGCATAAGTATTTATAAATTTAGTCAGTATTAAATAAATTTTCTATCACTTAAAAATTTATTAACTTTATCAAATTAGTTTAATGAATTTTTACTTAAAACAATGGGTAAATTACAGTCAGTACCCTTTGAGGTTTCTGAAAATTACATTGGCCTTCTCTTCTTTTTTTGAAATTGCACTGACCTTTCGATGACTAACGGCATTAATGGGAGCACTACTAGAAAAGTAATTTTTTGCAACTAATTTTGTTGCGACCAACTGATTGACTGTCGCAAAAAATAATATTTGCAAGAGAGACTAATCTTTTCTTTTATTTATTTTTCCCTCTTCTTATACCTATGCCCTAATTCCTTTCACGACTATTTACAAACAGAGGTGTCTTCGTCTGTCTTGCTCTCTCTAACCTTGTTCAATCGCCCCTGATGATAGGAGCGATTTTGACCATAGATCTCTGACTACATATCACCATTTCCCTAAATTTTCTCTCTTTAACTCTGTTCAATCACCCCAATCTTCTCCATCTCCACCATGGTGAGTTCTTTGAACTGTTTTCTAGAACATTTAGCTTCGTTAGGGTTCATTTTCCGGGTTTATATACGTTGTATATACATATATATACATGCATTTATGTTTATGTAGATGCAGTTTGAGTTGTGTTTTGCTGGTTGATCTGTGATCTCCATGGTTTGTGATTACTTTCTACGATTTGCTTCAATTTCTCAGCTCATAGATATGATTTTGATGGTTGATCTCTGAATGTCGTGTTGATTTCGATTCGTATGATGGTCTAACATTGATTCATTTGGTTTCATAGACCGATTTCATTCGTATGATTTGTTTCGTGTTTTGTTAAAGGAACTGATTAGGGTCTATGTAAAGATGCCTATGGTTTTGAATTTGAATATCTCTCTCTCTCTCTCTCTCTTCCATATTTGGATTTCAAATTTCAATAACTTCAGTTCCAAGCCTTTATTTCTCTCTTTGCTGTTTCTGGTATTACAATGTTTACAGTCTAAATGCTTGAACATGTGCTTATGTGTTTCACTTCCTTTATCAATATACTAGCATATCTTTGTGTGACATCATTTTTTCTTCTTTCTTTCTTTTTTTTTGGGGGGGGGAGGAGGGGGGCGATCAAACAGCTCAATTCACTACAAAGTTTTGTTCAGCAGCTCCATTCATTTTATGCAGTTGTATGGCTTTATGATCATTGTGTCGTTCAGCAATCTTTCATACCACTCACTGTAATACTGGTTTAACTATTTCTCTTGGTGTGCTCTTAATTATTTTGGCACTTAATTGAGTCCAACAAGCACTATACAAGCCATACTTACTATGCCCCATATTCCTTTTTCCTCTCATGCTCTGCTCATACAGTTTAATTTCTCTCTTCCCATGTCAATCTTGGTTTTTAATTTTGTTGTTTTTCCTTTGTGATGGTAGTTTTAAATTCTTAATTGGCAGGACTTTTGTTTTGTTTTGTTTTTTTTAATTTAATTTAATTTTTAATAATAAATTGATCTTATGTTTTTGTTTGCAATAGTTTGATTTTGTGTCACCTATATGTTTACTTTTTAGTCGAGGTTTTGGGACCATTTCAGTTTTTATGGGCTACATGTTTGTTATAATTTATCTTTTGTGTTGAGTCCTAGAGGGTTATCTCTTATGCATTGAAGTAATAGAAAGAAAAAGCAACAACTAATACTGCTATAGTATCTCAATTTTCCCTCCAAATTTTTTTGCAGGTCATTTAACTTGGAAAATGCTTTGGGATCTCACACAAAGGCCAAGCACAAGCACAGTGCTGGACAATACATGGATTTGAAGAGAGAGCTTCTGAGTTCTGATTGGAAACTCTATGCTCAGTCTATTAGGTAGTTTTTATAATACTAAACTTTGCTGACTAGTAACTTTTTATATTCTGAGTGTTAATGTCAATTTGGTATGAATATAAAATTGTGGAAAGGTTCTTTCTTCACAGAATGGTTAATTTTTTGATAAAGATTTCATGGATTCACTTCATTGATTACATGATGGAATCTCAAGTGCCCAATTATAGCATTATTAATCAGGATTAGTTTTCTTGCTTGAAATCTATTTTACTTTGAGTGTTGCTCAGGGTGCTACTCGTGCTTTGTTGCAGTAATATACAAATGATGAATTTTCAGAATTCTATCAAAACCTAAACTAATTTTAAAGCATTTTTCCAGTTCTGTAAGGAAAAAGAAAAAAAAAAAAAAAAAAAAAAGTTTGGCCCTTGTTTTTGTATGAAATTAAACACAGTTGAAGGAGTAATTTTGAGTGGAATGAGAACCATTGAACAGAGCATTATAGCATTAAATGTCATCTCCTCATTTCAGTTTGTTTGAGAACCATGAATTGTGTAATGAAGAACAAACATTAAGATAAATTCATTGTGCCTTTCTATATTTTTATGTCTTTAGCTTCATACATTCACTGCTACCTCATGGAGATTTTTTTTTATTATTTATCCTGTAATGGTGATGATATTGAAGGCATTTCTAAGGCTGTTTTGGTTCCTTCCGTGTCTTTTGATCAACTCCTGGGGCGTTATCACTCAAAAAACAACCAAATAGGCTTGAATAGTTAATGCCTCAACTTTTATCAGCAAGGTAAGCTTTACTTAGCAAGTTGATGTAGCATTTCTAATATATGATTGATAGTTACTTATGCTTTTGAGTTTTGACTTTGAGAATTTTAAAATTGTTATGCTTATGCTTTTGGGTTTTTGGAGCAAGACAGGTAACCACTGATCAACATAATAAATAAGTCTATTGTGGTACCCTCCTAACCAAATACTCTCATGCATTGTGAGTAATTTTTTCTTATTTTGCATAATTGTTGTGGCCTGTGCAATATTCATGTAATAGATTTCTTGTTATCTTAGTTCTTATTTTTATATTTGGGGACTCTCTTGATCCAAAAGGAGGTGAGTTTGCTTTAGGGTGTTGACAAGGACATGAAAAAGCTTTCAATCCCTCTTCCTACAAGTGATGAGACTGATAATTGCACCATCATCTGGTGTGATGTTCTTACACAATATCAAGTCAATATTCACAAGGACCCATGATTAAAAATATATATATATACATGAATAAAAAAAGAAAGAGTGGCATAGTTTCTCTCTCTCTCTCTCTCTCTCTATGTCATTTTTCATGCACAGATGGTGTGGCTGGTAATCACATGATAATACGTGCTTCTTGTGATCTTGTAGATTGATGGTGTGGCGAAGTTTCGAATGTTGCATATTATTATGAAATTTTCAACTAGTTTGTTAGTATTAGGAACTTTTGGTGGTTTGGTCCTGTGCTTTTGTGGACTCAAGTTGACATCAAACTTTTTTGAGATGTGATTGAGACCCCCTCAATCACCAACCCCCACCACCCCACACACACGTGGGGGTTGGTGATTGGAGGAGAAAAAAAAAAAAAAAAATCTGGCCAATCAATCCAAGAGGGGGTTGTGGGGGTGGGGGGGAAAAGGGAGTCCGGATCATTTTTGAACTTTTTTTAGCTGGAAATGTTATGAAAAGGATTTCTATGCACAACGCCATTCTTGTGGACTATTTGATGAATGATCATTTTATCAAGTATTATCAATTTTTTTTATTTCCATGCTTGAATTGACTTTAAATACATACTATTTACTAATCATTAGTTGTCTGTTTTATATTTGATGAATCTCTTAGTGCTGACTTGTGCTTGAGAGCCAATGGACCTCTACTGATCACCCACACTCAGTGAACCTGTCAAGTTATTTTCAATGTGTCATTTATATTGGCTGTACAGTGCTAGCTGAGAAAGTTTGATATTGTGTTGGTTTTTGTCTTACTAGTGTTCAATAATCAAATTCATGCCTCTTTTTGCTCGAACTTGTAGTTTCAATATTAGAGGTTGATGATTTGTTTCCGATGTTCTCCTGACAGAGGGAGCAATGGTGGCAACAAGACTGACAGGAATTCTTTCAGGACAACCTATATTCTTCAAGACTCTGTAACAAGACTGTACAGAAGTGGCCTTTTTCTTGTTTCCATATACTAGTTTTTAATGTGAATTTGGGTGGTAATTGCAAGGATTCTTGGAATCAGAACTACTTTAACCTCAAATGTTTTTTTTGTAATTGCAATAGGTGGAAAATCTTTGCAAGATTCTTTTAGGAACTTTGTTATTGTAACGGGAATTTTATTAAAGGAAGAGATGGAAAATAATGCATGAATGTTAAAATTTTTGTAAATATCTCTTTACATTTATTGTATATAATATTTGAATATATATGAGAATATAAGCTGTTAAAACATTGTAGGCATTTTTTTTATTATTTTGGCGATGGTAACGATGGTCGCTAATACATTGTAGGTGTTTTATTTTTTTTACTTTGCGACGACAAAACATCAGTTGCTATAAGTAGATTAGGCGGTTACAAATAGTTTGCGACTGTTGTTTTGCGGTTGCAAAAAGTATTTGCCACTCCAACATTTGTGACTCCCATTTGTTGTTGCATGAGCTGTTGCAAAAAGTTTTTTGCAATTGTATTTCTATTATTTGCGATGGCTTATAACGGTTGCAAAACATGCTTTTTTTTAGTAGTGGAGGGTTAGTTTAGTAATTTTAATATTAGATATACTTTTATTGATAATCATTAAATGTGCAATTCTTATTTTGTTTATACCTTAGATGGTGTTTGGTTATGTCTAATTTTTTTTTAGTTATGACTGATAGCAAATTTAGTTATGATATTTGTGGTAATATAACTTGTATATAATACATGTGTATTCTAAAATAATTTATTATTATGACAAAAGTGATAATGAAACAAATTGAAAAATTAAGAGTAAATTACAACCACAAAAAAAAAAAAAAAAAAAACCCCAAGATTTAACAATTATAACAAAATAAACTATGAGTTTTTAATTTTATCAATTTTAATTTTTTTTAATATTTATTTTCAATTTAAACCGTTGGTCTATTTTTAAGTAAAATTGACAGAAAATAAATATTTTAGTCATTAAACTTAATGAAAATGAGTATTTTAGACATGTTATGTATATTTACATTAGGTTTAATTATTAAAATATTATTTTTTCGTCGATTTTAGTTATCGAAAATAGGCAAATAATTTAGATTGAAAACAAATCAAAAGATTAGGGTTGAAATTGATAAAATTAAGAACTTAGGGTTTATTCTGTTATAATAGTCAAACTTTGAATTTTTTTTTTTATAATTTTCCCAAAAATTAATTACATAAATACAAGAGAAGTTCTTTTATAGTTTTTAATCAACACTATTATATAATTCAGTTTTCTTCAAAAAAATGAGATAAAATTTATAAGCCTCACTATCTAAATCCTTTAATTTTTCAATTTTCAATTTTTAATTTTATGAAACACCACTTAACATGGCCTGACAATTTCACCTTTAATTTTAAACCAAATTGCCATCAATGACAGACAGAGTCCACTCAAGCCTATTTAAAACCCAAGATGAAAGGTCTAATTGGGGCATTCATAATAAGCTATCTAATTTTCACAATGAAAATAATTTAGATAAATTTTTTTTTCTTCTTCTTTTCTTAACTAAGAGAATGAAATATGTGTAATATAAATGTAACGATGAGATCTCTTTTGTATCTAATGAGAGAAGTTGTTTTACTGTCTTTATGATTTGACGGAGAGCTTAAGATAACTAATGAAGTGAAATTCTTTTTGATAATCCCTGATTTATTCATTTTTTGTTAATTTATTGGGAGATTTTCAACTACTATTTTAATTTTTGACAATTATTTTGACAATAAAATAGGTTAGTTACCCCAATACCTCTTCAACTCTATTACAAGTTCACTTCACCCTCATCAACTATAAAAAGTTGTAGAAATACACTCTTTTGTAAAGTGGTCTAGAGGAAGTAAAACTGATATATTTTTATAGTTGAGGAGGTCAATTTATACAAATTCATAAATGAGGAGATTAAGTGATGTTCAATAATAGTTAAGGTGGTTTTGGTGTAATTAATGCTAACTTTTATTACGTAAAATTGTTTTGATAATAACTTCTATTATTTATATATACAATAAAGATCTTGTTAATATGTATTTTTAAGGCACACGTTAAAAAAGTTTTAAAATATTATATATTTTTTATTATACCCGCTTTTATAGCGATGTACAACCCTTTAATCATCTTGCCATGTGCAATAAGTACATAAATTAATAAAATTCACATAATATAATCCATGTGGTCCTCTTTTACTCAAGAGTTTAGTCTAAACCAGCATTTAAGTTGTCTACTCTTAAACCACCGACGAGTTGTGGTTCACATCAGCTGTAACCAACTTGGAATATCAATGAGAAATTGTAAAGAGGGACCTTAATCATTCAATTGTTGTAAAAAAGTCATATGTGGTGTGCATGACTAAGAAGAACATTGTTATCAAAACCTCATGTCTTATATATGTAGACTAGACTTGAGTTTGGGGCTTCTTTCTATTAAAGATATAAAGTCGAATTGAGTGTTGCAGATAATGTGTATTTACTGAGCAGTAGTGTTTGTTATACATAATACCTTTCGTTAGGGTTCAGTGTCAGAATTTAAATGGAATCAGGTCATATATAAAGCAAATGAAATATTTATTGATTTTCTTAGGACAATAATATTTTATCTATGTTAGGCTTTATTCTTGGCAATCCCGTTTGACAAAACTCCTTTGTATTGTAATTTTATTCGCATTTTTATTTCAGTGAGGATATGAGTTGTTAGATGCGAATCCAACCCGAATCATGCTTTGTAGAGCAGTTTTGTGATGTTAATTCTTTCAAGGTTGCCATTTCGCTGATTATGACGGAGTTCGAGTTGCCCGGTCAGTTCGAGGGGGTCGAGGGGGCGGCGCCCCTTGGCGGGTCCGGGGCAGCGCCACGGCGGGGTCGAGGGACAGCGCCCCCGAAGCAAAATGCAAAAATGCATTCAAAGTTGCCTCCCCGCTCGAGCGTCCATTCCCCCGCTCGAGCGGAGAATGGTGATTTCCAGAAGTTTATTCGCCTGCAAAAATACTGGATGTTGTTTTTTCCCGCTCAAGCGGAACTTTCCGCGCTCGAGCGGCCAATCCGACGCTCGAGCGGAGATCGCGGGATAGTTTTCTATAAATGCGTGTTTCAGTCCAAATCTAGGATAACTTCTCCAGATCTTCTTCTTGGGTTCTAGGGTAAATATCTGGGGATATTTTGCTAGTTTTCTTTGATTTTTTTTTGATTGAGTATTCAACTCATGGTTTAAAGAGTATATATCAAAGGATTATTTATTTGTTCTACACAAAAGAGAGAATTGTTCTTCGGTGGATTCTGAAAAATTCGAGCCTGAAGCTTTGGTGGATTCCGGAGTGGCTCATCGTCAAGACAATTCCGAGGTGAAGACGGGGTTGGAAGAGGCACACAAAGGTTGGTTCAATTCGGGCGTAGATTCGTTAGGTAATTGAGAGTATACCTGTGTAATTCCCTTTATATCTTCTTTTTTTTATCACAATTGGAGGTGTCCAATTGTGGTTTTTCCATGTAAAATTGTTGTGTCGATTTGTCTTGATTGTTTGATTGGGATTGTTGTTTACTGCTTAAAATTGATACATAATCACAAATCAACATCTAGGGGATTTCTAGATTTTTCAATTGGTATCAGAGCAGGTCGCTCTATTTTTTTTAAAAAAAAACTTTTAGAGTGAGATCTTGTTTGATTTGTGATAATGGATACAATTCGTGATGGAAATTCTATGGTTCGACCACCCCTACTTGACGGATCCAATTATTCTTTTTGGAAAGCTCAGATGAGATCGTTTTTGAAATCAATAGATGAAAAAGTTTGACAATCTGTCATGAATGGGTGGACCGAACCAACAATTATCGTTGATGGAATAACTTTCCCCAAACCAATTGATAAGTGGGACACAATTTATTACCAAAATAGTAGCTGGAATAGTAAAGCTATCAATTCTCTCTTTTGCGCTGTCACACCTGAAGAGTTTATTCGTATTTGCAATTGTGAAGTCGCAAAAGAGGCTTGGGATATCTTACAAACTATTCACGAGGGCACTCTTTCTGTTAAACGCTCAAAACTTCAAAGGCTCACGTCTAATTTCAAAAACCTTTCAATAAAAGATAGTGAGACTTTTGATAAATTTTATGCGAAGTTGAGTGACATTGTAAATTCTGGCTTCAATTTACGTGAAAAAATACCAGAATCCAAAGTTGTGGGAAAAATTTTGAGATCCTTGCCCGATCGGTTCGAACCAAAAGTTACGGCTATTGAGGAGGCTCAAGATGTTGACAACCTCAAGCTGGATCACTTGGTTGGAAATCTCCAAACTTATGAGGCACATAGGAATTTCAAAAAGAAACAAAAAGATACTATTGCTTATAGTAGTGCTCATAGAGTTGAAGAGAATTCTGATAAGGATTGTGAGATAGATTCCAAGATTACGGCTGCTTTTGTTAAACAATTTAAAAAATCTTTTTTGAAAAAGAATGCTAATGTTTTGGAATTTACTCATACTCATAAATCTAAAGGCAAAGAGAAACTCAAAATTAATTCTATAGCCAAGAAGGAGAAATGAAAGATACAAGGGAACTCTGAAAAAGTCCAATACTATGAATGCTAAGGATTTGGCTACTTTGCTTCAGAATGCCCCACTCGTTTGAAGAAGAAGAAAGCCCTCACCATCACTCAGGATGATGAATCAGAATCTGATGAAGATGAAAGTGACAACGAAAATCAAGGCGAAGAGGGACATAAACAATTCCTTGCTTTCATGGCGGCTTCCGAAACTGAAGGATGAACAGAGTATCCGAAGAGGTTGGTTGAGAATGCCACTGATGATGAATCCTCAGAGAGTGATGATGAAGAGCTTGAGCAAGCTTATGAAAAGTTGTATAAGAAGTCTCTTAACTTATCCAAATTGAATGACAAACTCACTACGAAACTCAAAGCATGTGAAAGTGAGAATGTCAAATTAAAGAAAGAGATTTCCGAGGCTAGGAATGATGCCCTTAAGATTTCTAATGATCGACATGCTCTTTGTGCAAAACTCTTAACTTGTGAGACAGAGAGGAATGAGCTACAACAAATCTATGCAACATATGAAGAAAAAATTGAAACTCTCGAGATGTCTCAAGTTGCTTTGAAAGAACTAATGATCAAAAGAGAGGAAGAGCTCAAGTGTGCTATAGCAACCATTGGTCTTTGGAACAAAGGATCAAAGACTTTAG